GGCCACAGGCGGGGGGAAGAGCCGCGGAAAGCCCGCGATACCGGCCGTGGGCAGCGGGAGGTGCTGGAAATGTCACGGGAGGGACCGGGCCTGTCTGCTGGGAACCGCAGGGAAATGTCCCTGCCCCCACTCCGCTGTCCCTGTGTCCATTCCCCTGTCCCCACTCCGCTGTCCCTGTCCCCACTCCGCTGTCCCTGTCCCCATTCCCCTGTCCCTGTCCCCACTCCCCTGTCCCCTTTCCCTTTCCCCTGTCCCTGTCCCCATTCCGCTGTCCCTGTCCCCTTTCCTCTGTCCCTTCTCTCGCTGCCGTTCGAGGGGCCCTGGTCCCTGGTGTCCAAATTTCAGCGCGGAGCCAAGGCCACACCCCGGCAGCGGGAACGGAGCAGGGCTGGGAGAGCTGGGAACGTTCATTGGAAATGGAAACATCCCGGGAGCACCACAGATCCTCACCAGGGCCTGAACGGGCTCCAGGAGAACTGGGAGGGACAGAACAAGGGGGAATGGCTGCCAGAGGCCAGGGATAATTGGGATATTGGGAGGAAACCCTTCCCTGGCAGGGTGGGCAGGCCCTGGCACAGCTGCCCAGAGCAGCTGGGGCTGCCCCTGGATCCCTGGAAATGATCCAGACCGGGTTTGGAGCAGCCTGGTCCCGTGAAGGGCGTCCCTGCCGTGGCACTGGGAGATGTTGAAGGTCCCTTCCCACCCAGCCGTGCTGGGGTTCTGCATCCCTGTGCCCAGGGATGGAAGTGCAGCTCTGGGGTGGCCCCAGATGTCCCCAGTTGTCCCTCCCCAGGTGTGAGCTCTGCCCCAGGGAGCAGCAGCCTCACAGGACACGGCTGCTGTCACAGCCAGCACGGCTGGGGCAGAACAGACACCAGGATCTCCAATTCCCACCATGGAATATTGACAGGAGTCAGGAAAAGCTCCAAGGAGTTCACAGAGCCCCCAGGTTTTATAAAGGATTTTGGGAGTTTGGGCCTCTGGTGTTCACCAAGGGCAGGGAATTCCAGGGTCAGAGCAGCTGTGTGAGATCCTGTAAAATCCATGGATTTGTGGGAGGGCTGCACTGAGGGAGGGGCTGGGATGTGCTGGGATGTCTGGGGCAGGTGTGCTCCGGAGGGATTGGGAATCTGCAGCTCTGAGGTGTCCCCTGAATCCCTCCTTACACCGGAGCAAGGAATCACGAGCAGTTTGTGCAGAGCCCTGCAGTGGGACCGGCTGCTTTATTGATGTGTCAGCTTGGAACATTGGCACAGCTGGGGATGCAGCAGCACAGACTGGGGATGCAGCAGCACAGCTGGGGATGCAGCAGCACAGCTGGGGATGCAGCAGCTGGGCCAGGAATGCAGCCCGAGCTGGCTGAGTGTGGATAAAATCCTGCTGGGATGCAGCAGCTGGAGCGACGCCATGAGGCATGAGCAGTGCAGGGCAGGTGGTAGCACACAGAGCTCCAGCAGGGACTGGAACATCAGCACGAAGCAGGAGGCCAGAGGCAGCTTCCCACGGCACAGCAGGAGCAGCAGCAGCACAGCAGGAGCAGCAGCAGCAGCAGCAGCATGGAGCACCAGCCTGGTGCAGATCACCAGGACAGCACAGAGCTGGATTTCCCCAGTGCAGCCTGAGCAGCAGCAGCACAGAGCAGGATGCCAGAGCTGCATTCCCACAGCACAGCAGCAGCAGCAGCAGCACAGAGCAGGATGCCAGAGCTGCATTCCCACAGCACAGCACAGCAGCAGCAGCAGCACAGAGCAGGATGCCAGAGCTGCATTCCCACAGCACAGCAGCAGCAGCAGCACAGAGCAGGATGCCAGAGCTGCATTCCCACAGCACAGCAGCAGCACAGAGCAGGATGACAGAGCCAGTTTTCCCCAGCACACCAGAAGCAGCAGGAGCAGCACTGGCACAGAACACCGGCACTGAGCAGCACGGAGCAGGATGCCAGAGGCAGCTTCCCACGGCACAGCGGGAGCAGCAGCAGCACAGAACACCAGCAGGATGCCAGAGACAGATGTGCCTGCCCAGCAGGAGCAGAACCAGCACAGAACACCAGCAGGAGCAGCACCAGCACAGAACACCAGCAGGATGCCAGAGGCAGATCTGCCTGCCCAGCAGGAGCAGCACTGGCACGGAGCAGTGGCAAGGAACAGCAGCGTGGTGCAGATCACCAGGACAGCACCAGAACCCGATTCCCCCAGCAGAGTCTGAGCAGCAGGAGCAGCACCAGCGCAGCAGGAGCAGCACCAGCACAGAGCAGGATGCCAGAGGGGTTTTCCCTGGCACAGCAGGAGCAGCACAGCACAGAGCACTGGCACAGCACAGGGCAGGAGCCAGAGCCGGATTCCTCTGGCACAGCGGGAGCAGCACCAGCACAGAGAACAGGCACAGAACACTGGCGTGGTGCAGATCACCAGCACAGAGCCAGAGCTGAATTCCCCCAGCACAGCAGGAGCAGCACCAGCACAGCACAGAGCAGGATATCAGAGCCAGTTTTCCCTGGCACAGCACAGAGCAGGATATCAGAGCCAGTTTTCCCTGGCGTGGTAGGAGCAGCAGGAGGAGAACTGGCACAAACCCTGGCAGCACAGAGCAGGCTGCCAGAGCCAGTTTCCTATGGCACAGCAGGAGCAGCACCAGCACAGCACAGAGCAGGATGCCAAAGGCAGTTTTCCCTGGCACAGTGAAGCAGCACAGAGCAGGCTATCAGAGCCAGTTTTCCCTAGCACAGTGGAGCAGCAGGAGCAGCACTGGCACAGCACAGAGCAGGATATCAGAGCCAGTTTTCCCTGGCACAGCACAGAGCAGGATATCAGAGCCAGTTTTCCCTGGCACAGTGAGAGCAGCCCCGCACGGCTCTTGGACAGAGACAATTCCTGTTTGCACTTTTCTCCACCTCAACGAAGTGTCCCTGGCAAAGGGCAGCACTGGGCTGGTGGTGGTGGCAATTCTCCCATCTCCAGGCTGGGACTGACACTCCAGTCAGCGCAGGAGGAATGGGAGGAAGAGGCACCAGGGCTTTCTCTTGAAGATGCTGAGAGATTTTGGAAGGCTCTAGGAGGAACTGGGAAATGAGAAGGATTCTGTGGAGCATCAATGAGATTCCTGCTGATCCACGTGTGGATCCAGGTGGTGGGTCATGATTTCTGGAATTTCTTCTCAAGACATATCATGTCCAGCTCACACAGTCCCAGCTCATCGTGAGGATTCTGAGCACAGGCAGCGCAGTGGAGACATTAAACCTGGAGAAATTCAGGATGGAGAGTGGAATGTGGCAGATGGGAAGCTACACCGGGGCTCTCCAAGCCTGCTCCTCCCCTCCCCTCCCCTCAGCAAGGACCATTCCAGATGGCAAAGAGGAAAAAAATAGCTTTGGGACCCGCAGCGAGAAAAGCCGATCGTTCCCAGAGGGAAACGGATCCTGTTGGGGTTCCTGCAGCAGCTCCACAAACCCCACTGGGAAGGGGCTGCTGGGGGTTGCTGCCCACTCCCCCACACCTCCCACTGGAAGCAGGCACCAGAACTCGAGTCCCAACGTCCCGGGATGCAATTCCTGGTGTTTGCAGAGTCCTCCATCAGCTGTTGCCTTCCCAGAGCACGGATTGGGCAAATCCCCGTGGGCCCAAGGCCCGGCCAGCTGAGTCCTGCTGCAGTCTGGTGGGTCAGGAGCCCTTTGGGATCCTCCAGTCCGGCACCTCGATCCCCTGGGAACGGGGGCTGCGGTGGGTCCCCAGCTCACAGGGCTTGGGAGCGGTGCTTGTGGAAGGCACTCTCCAGGAACGTGGCCAGCTTTTCACAGTCGTCCTGAAATGCAGACATGCCAACAGCTCCCTTTGCTGGGCTGGCCCAGACACCTCCAGCCTCCCTCAGTCCCAATCCCGAGCCCTTCCTGTGCTGGCCTGCCCCAGTCCTGCTGCAGGGTTGGGCTCCCCTGGTACAGGACTTGGAGGGGCTGGAGCGTGTCCAGGGGAGGGAATGGAGCTGGGAAGGGGCTGGAGAATTCCTGAGGGAGCTGGGGAAGGGGCTGGAGAATTCCTGAGGGAGCTGGGAAGGGGCTGGAGAATTGCTGAGGGAGCTGGGAAGGGGCTGGAGAATTCCTGAGGGAGCTGGGAAGGGGCTCAGGCTGGAGCAAAGGAGGCTCAGGGGGAATTTCTGGCTCTGCACAAGTCCCTGGCAGGAGGGGACAGCCAGGGGGATCAGGCTCTGCTCCCAGGGAACAGGGACAGGAGGAGAGGGAACGGCCTCAGGCTGGGCCAGGGCAGGTTTAGGAGGGATATTTGGAAAATTCCTCCTGGAAAGGGCTGCCCAGCCCTGGCCCAGCTGCCCTGGCAGTGGTGGAGTCCCCATCCCTGGAAGCGTTCAATAAACACGTGGATGTGGCACCTGGGGATGTCACAGGGTGACCTCCCATGTTTGCTCACAGGCTGGACTCAATAAGGTCTTTTCCCAAATTAATTATTCTGTGATTCCTTAAGTAAGGAACCAGCCTCCTCCCCTGGGTGCTCTCCTGGTTCTCCCACTCAGAATTATTTAAGGTGCAGCTAATTAAAGTGTGCCACGAGGGGCAGCTCCCCTCGGAACAGCTCCTGCAGCAGAGTCCAGAGGGAACAGAGATCCACGCCCTGCCTGTGAGGAGCTCCAGGGGCTCCAGACTCAGCCACAGCAGGGACTCACCTCGTGGATGAATCCGTAATGCACCAGCTCTGTGGCCAAATCCTTGGAGTTATCAGCTGCAGAGACAAGGAGCAGGAGAACGTGAACATGGAGACAGCTCAGGGAGCTCCTGTACCTGGGAGAGTTGGGAAAACGGGGCAGGGAGGTGGAACAAGGTTCCCAAAGCTCCCAGAACACAGCTCTGGACAATGTGCACTTGGAAAGGCTTTGTTTGGTGTTGTAATGCAGTTAGGAAAAATGGTATGAGCCAAAGACTGTACCCCCAAAAATGTAGACTTGTAAGTTCTTTCCCTTATCTTCTTCTCCCCATTTCCCCTTATTGGTTGTGTAAATCCCCCACACCCCTTCCCCTGTCCTCAAAAAGGGGTGCTTATTGATGCCTCTTCCTCTTTCCCTCCTGCAACTTCACCCCAAAGGATTCCAAGAAATAAAACTGTGACTGCCATCTCAGCAAAGGGGAAGAGCCTCGTTTTTAGGGTCTCCTTTGGCAGCTGTTCTGCCTCCCTGGCCGCTGCGGGGTGCACAGGGGCAACAGAGGGGCAGGGGACAAAGTAACAACAGCAGCTGGGCTCAGCAGGGAACGCCCCAGGACAGCGCCTGTGGCAGAGCCCGCGAGGGGCTGGGGAAGGAGCAGCCCCCAGGCACCATTCCCAGCTTTCTGAGGGAATCCTGGCTGTGAGGGAGCCCTGGGGCTGCGTGGCCTCCAGGGGCTCCTGATATTCTGGAAAGGAGCTGGAGCTGCACCTTTCCCAGGCCCCTCCGAGAAGGATCCACCTTTCCTCTGGAAAAGTGCTGGGAATGAGGCTGGAGCTCCACTGGGACCACAGGAACTGCCCACTGTGGGTCCTGCTGGGAATGCAGCTCTGGAATGACCGCTGGATCACTGCCTGCCAACTGCACCCTATGGGCAGTGTGGTGCACACCAGCACAGGGCCCAGCTGGGCAAGGGCTGGGACAAAAAGGGAAAATGAGAGAGAATGGGGAAAGGGAAAAGGGAAAAGAATGGGGAAAGGGAAAAGAATGGGAAAAGGGAAAAGGAGAAAGAATGGGAAAAGGAGAAAGAATGGGAAAAGGGAAAAGAATGGGAAAAGGAAAAAGAGGGAAGGAAAGGAAATGAAGGGAAAGGAAAGGAAAAAGGAAAAAGGAGGAGGAGGAGGAGAGGGAAAGAAGAAAAGGGAAAGGTAGGGGAGCTGGCTGGGAAGCTGGCACATTCTGTGTCCAACAGAGCCTCATCCCAACAGGGCCACAGGATTCCCCAGCATCCACACCCAGCATTCCCTGTGGGAACATACTGGGCAGCAGGTCATAGCTGAGCTGGCGGTGCAGTTTGTCCTCCAGGATGAGCAGGAGCGTGAGCTGTGGAGACAGGAGAGAGTCTGCTCATCCCAACCCCTCCAAAGGCACCGGCAGGTGCTGGGCAGGGAAGGGGGAGCTCTGGGGCAGGGCAGGGATGGGGGAGCTCTGGGGCAGTGCTGGGATAGGGGAGCTCTGGGGCTCTGCTGGGATAGGGGAGCTCTGGGGCAGTGCAGGGATGGGGGAGCTTTGGGGCAGTGCTGGTGCCCTGGAGCAATTCCAGGTCCCTGTAAGTTCTGGGCCAGAAAAAACAGGAGTCCAAGAGTGTCTGGAAACACCAGGGACATCCAGAGACTCCAGATGTGTGTCCCACAGGCCAGGGGAGTTTGTGACTTTTTGGGAATTCTCTCACTGTACAGGACAGGACAGTGAGAGAATTCTGTACAGGACAGGAGTGAGTTCTTTGGGTACCATGGAAACGGGCTGAGGCCTTTCCCAGTCTGACTTCCCGGTATCATTTCCTGCTGTGATACCCCAGGCAGATTTCCCTTGGCCATTTTCCTGTCAGATTTCCTGGTGTGATTTCCCAGTCCCATTTCCCAGTGGATGTGCAGGGAGCAGGTCTCTCCCAGCGCCGGGAGCGGGTCGGGATCCAGGTACTCACGTGCCACTGGCTCTTGTCCTCGTTCAGCTCCATGTTGCACTGCATCTGCACCACCTGGAAAAGCCCAACTCGGCATCAGCCTGGACACGGCCCCTCTGGGCTTTGGAATTCCTCCTGACAGCCCGTGATTCCTCTCCCAGCTCTCACCTGGGCCAACAGGAGAGGTGTCCCTGCAGCAGGGATGGAGACTGCAGGAGCTGTCCCCACCTGGAGCTGGCCTTACCTTTCTGGTCTCCACATCAAAGGGCTCTGGGGTGGGAGTCTTGGCTTTCTGAGGATCCTCCTGGGGCTGGGAGAGGGCGCGGGGGAGGGCGTGGGGTCTGGAGACAGCGAAGTTCATCAGGGGGTAAATCCCATTCCTGGCACAGACACGGAGGGAGGACAAAGAGCTGATTCCAGCCCCTGGGCCCGGCAGAGCTGGCTCTGGAAGGAGCAGGGATGGGCTCCGAGCACAGCTGGGGACAGCACCGAGCACAGCTGGGGACAGCTCCGAGCACAGCTGGGGACAGCTCCGAGCACAGCTGGGGACAGCTCCGAGCACAGCTGGGGACAGCTCTGAGCACAGCTGGGGACAGCTCCGAGCACAGCTGGGGACAGCACCGACACTCCGCGTGCTCCCGGGGAGCCCAGGCAGAGCTGGGAGCTCCAACACACCTGACGTCCTCCAGGAACTTGTCGAGCTCAAGGAAGGAAACCTCCGAGTACCTGGGCAGGGAACAGGATGGGAGGGTTCAGGGAGTGAAAGGCTGCTTCCCACGGCACTGGGATCTCCAGGCTGGATCCTATGGAATCTCCCCCATCCTCACCTCCACTGCGCCCCAGGCCGACCCTCCCTGCGGATCTCGGCCATCACCATGTTCAGGTCCAGCTCCTTGATTTTCTCCTCCACCACGTTCTCTGGCATCAGATCTGGGGCAGAGGCACAGGGGGGGTGTGGGTCCTGCAGCCCCTGCTCCAGGGCGGGGCTGGGAGTCCCTGCCTCCCTGCCCAGGCTCTGCACATGGAATCACTGGGTGTTTTGTGTGGGAGGGACCTTAAATCCCATCCAGTCCCACCCCCTGCCAGGGGCAGGGACACCTTCCCCTATCCCAGGTTGCTCCAAACCCCATCCAATGTGGCCTGGAACACTGCCAGGGATGGGGCAGCCACAGCTTCTCTGGGCACCCTGTGCCAGGGCCTCACCACCCTCACAGCCAGGAATTCCTTCCCCAAATCCCTCTAACCCTGTCCTCTGGCAGGGGGAAACCATTGCCCCTTGCCTTGTCACTGTATCCCTAGTGCAAAGAGCTCTGCAGCTCCTCTGGAGCCCCTTCAGGCACTGCAAGGGGCTCTAAGGTCTGCTTGGACCCTTCTCCGCTCCAGGGTGAACATTCCCAGCTCTCCCAGCCTGGCTCCTTGGGAGAAGATGAGTTTGGGGGTCCGGGTGGTCCCAGGCACTCACACTGGTGGTTGATGAAGCAATGGGCTGCCAGCAGCTTCAGGGAATGCACCTCGAAGAGCACCCGGTGGAAGAGGAGGTTGTTGGCGGTCGGGCGCTTGTCCGGGTTCAGGGTCAGGCAGGACAGGATGAACTCCTGGGATCAGAGCAGGGGCACGAGCTGGAGCAGAGCAGGACAATCCCCTGCTGCTCTCACAGGAGCATTTCACACAGCCACAGAATCATGGAATCACTGAGGCTGAAAGGAGCTCCCAGAGTCCACCCTGTGCCCGATCCCCACCTTGTCACCAGCCCAAAGCACTCAGTGTCCGAGTCACTCCTTGGGCAGCTCTGGGGATGGGCACTCCAAACCTCCCTGGGCACTTCCAATCCCTGACTGCCCTTTCCAGGAACAAATTCCTGCTGATGTCCAGCCTGAGTCTCCCTGGCCCAGCCCGAGGCCATTCCCTCTCCTCCTGTCCCTGTCCTGTCCTGGCAGAGCCAGAAATTCCCCCTGAGCCTCCTTTGCTCCAGGCTGAGCCCTTCCCAGCTCCCCCAGCTGCTCCAGACCTTTCCCCAGCTGCATTTCCTTCCCTGGACACATTCCAGCACCTCACATGTCCTTACCTGGGGACCTCAAAGCTGCCCCAGGGCTGGCGGTGTCGCAGCAGTGCCAGCACAGGGCTCGCTGCCCTAGGCCTGGGCTCGCTGTTTTTGATACAATTTCCCAGGACACAGATCCAAGGGCTCTTTCTGCAGCAGGAGCCCCAGGACAGGGAGCTGCAGCAGAATTCCGGTGGGCAGAGAGGGAAGGGGGTCCCCACTGGCCCCATCCCAGGTGTGAGCCCAGCAAAGGCTGCAGGAGAAGGGGCAGAACCAGGATCAGCCCCGAGAGCAGGAATGTGGTGCTGGGAGTGGGGAAGGGGCAGGATGAGCAGCAGAATCCAAGGGATCTGCCTGTTCCTGCTCCCTGAGAGCAGAGGAGCCAGATCTGCCACTGCTCCTCCAGCCCCTGCCCTGCTGCTGACAGGGGATGGGCCAGGATATCTGGGATCTATCCAAAAATGATCCCAGGGGTGCCAGGTGGGCTCCCCCAGACTGGGACCCTCAGAACCACCTGCCCCAGAGACCCTCGGGCGTGACTCCAAGCACTCCTGGATGCTCCAGAGGAGACTCCCTGGTTCTCCTGAGACATGGGAACTGTGGGATCTGAGGGCAGGATTTACTGTGGGATGCCTCGAGAAACTCTGTGATCAAACAAGAGAATCTGGGGAATGTACAAACTCATCATGGGATGTTTTGGAGACTGCCACAGGAAGAGGAAGAGGAAGGGGGGGGTGAGTGGCTCAGGGTGGATGGAGGGGGATCAAAGGTTCCAGCTGCTCCTCTGGCTGAGCCCAAATCCCAACTGCTCTCCAGACTGTCCTGTCTCCTTATAAAACCTCGTTCCCAAGTATTTATGGGGAAGCTTCTTCTCTGTTCCCTGGATCCACCTGGGCCCCAGGCAACATGGAGCTGGGGCAGCTGAGGAGTGAGATGGAGCTTGGGAAGGGGGCACAGGTACCCAGGACACCACAGGTATGAGGGACAACGAGGAGACCCGTGGCACAGGGCCAGACCCCTTCTGCACCTCCTGGGAACTGGCAGGATGGGATTTACACCCAGGAGGGATGAGGGACGGGATTTACAACCAGGAGGGATGCAGGACAGGGATTTACACCCAGGAGGGATGCAAGGTGGGATTTACACCCAGGAGGGATGCAGGACAAGGATTTACACCCAGGAGGGATGCAGGACAGGGATTTACACCCAGGAGGGATGCAGGACAGGGATTTACACCCAGGAGGGATGCAGGACAGGGATTTACTCCCAGCAGGCTCCTCCAGCTACACTCACCCGCATGTTGGGATCATCCAGGGAATGCCGGGCCCGTGCGATGGCCTCCTCCGAGACCCGCGTGTCCCCGTTGGTCTGGATCTCCAGCACGGCCATCTGGGAGGGGAAGCACGGCCAGTCCATGGGGGCTTCACTGGGGAAACCCCCGGACAGGGGACACCCCCGGACAGGGCAGGGACAAGGGACACCCCAGGACAGGGGACACCTCAGGACAGGGCAGGGACAAGGAACACCCCAGGACAGGGACACCCCCGGGCAGGGGACACCCCCAGACAGGGGACACCTCAGGACAAGGGATACCCCAGGACAGGGGACACCTCAGGACAGGGACACCCCCGGACAGGGGCCACCCCCAGACAGGGGACACCCCCGGCCAGGGGACACCCCCGGCCAGGGGACACCTCTGGACAGGGGACACCTCAGGACAAGGGATACCCCAGGACAGGGACACCCCCGGACAGGGGCCACCCCCAGACAGGGGACACCCCAGGACAGGGGACGCCTCA